TCAGCCTGCCCTCCCACCTACCCTCTCCCAGCTCTGGCCGCCTCTCCTGGTTGGGGGGGATGGCTGCTACCCTGAAGAGGGGCACTGGAGCCACCTCTGGGAGATGCTGGGTTGCCAGGCGGGTTGAGCAGGTTTGGGAAGGGGTGGGAGGGGCCTTATCTGGGGGGAGCAACCTGGCCCTGGGATGGACTGACAGCCTGAGGAGAGGAGTGAGTGAATGAGCACCCCCTGTAGGAAGATAGGGGAGCTGAACCAGGCTGACCTTCCCAGTGTAGACCCTATGTCCTGGAGACCTGAAGAAATCAGAGGTTCTGAACCCCAAACTGGGACACGTGGGAGGCAAGTGTTTGTGGAAATCACAGGTGGAATAATTCGGAATGGGATAAACTTGCTCTACCTCCTCCATGGAGCAGAGCCATGAAGTCACAGCCTGGGGTTCACATGCATATCCCATCCCACAGTGTGCACATGCGTCTCCCACGGGCATGGGCACACAATCCAGTCCACACAGACACACACAGGCCGACAATCACAGCGACAGTCCTGGAACCACAGTGCTTTCTGTCACTTTACGGATTAAGCAACCGGATTCTGGGAGCTTAAATACTGAGGCCACAGTCCACCTTTGGAGGGGGTCTCCAAAAAGAGACCTTTTAGCCCCTTAAAAATCCATCCTCAACCAATACCCTCCAGCCACCCTCTCCCTCCTGCATTTTGTCTCACTGTAGACTGGCCGGCCTTCCAGTATTGCCACACTGTGTGCGCACTGAGGTCTGACCCACTTCAGAACTTTAGCTGGGGACCAAGTCCTCTCCCATCTGAGCTCTAGCCCAGGGGCACTGCCCCAGAAGGGGTCACTGAGTTCCCAGAGGAGGCCAGAGGAGGCCACGAAAGGCGAGACAGGGTGGGGAGGGGGGCTGTGGGGCTGGGAGGAACCTGGAGGTGAGCTGTGATTCAGGCAAGCACTTCTCCAGACTCAGTGGCTCAGATTGCTCAGATCCCTATGCCGCTTACACACTCACCTTTAGGGGCATGAGGAGGGAAAAGGAAGGGAGTCCAGGGCCACTGAAGAAGGGGGGCCATGTGGGCATATGTGAGGAACATGGGAGAAGGCATAGGGACAGTCTTCATGCTGAATTTTTGGTGGTAAATGTTTATTGGATTCTAACATAAATCCAGACAGTACATAAATTATATATGTATTTTATGGTTTATTATTATATGAATGTATTGCTCTGTGAATTTCCGCAAAATAGACACACACCAAGTAAGCAGCATCCTGATCAAAAAGTAGACCGTTATTGGTACCCACTTTTTCAGGCACAATACCCTATTCTGACTTCTTATGCCATAGGTTAATTTTGCCTATTTTTATACTTTTTATAATCAGAATCATAGAGTATGCTAACTTCTGGGTCTGGCTCTTAACATTATAGTTCTGAGATCTATCCCTGTTGTGCAGACACATTTTTTAAACACTGTTCACACCTGGAGATGCACACAAATAAACGCTCACACTCAGGCAGAGTCCTGGGTATGTGGTGTGTCAAGTCTGCACACCTACACTGCTCACACAATCACAACACACACCCAGGTTCTTGTGCACATATGCACATTCTCATTGCACTGACACATGTGACTATTATGCACACATATATGTATATATAAATACATCCCAAAACTCATGCTATACACACACGCAGGTTCTCTCACACACACATTCTCAAGACAAACACGTTAAATGGACCTCAGTTTTCTTTTTTTTGAAATATATATTTTATTGATTTTTTACAGAGAGGAAGGGAGAGGGATAGAGAGTTAGAAACATCAATGAGAGAGAAACATCGATCTGCTGCCTCCTGCACACCCCCTATTGGGGATGTGCCTGCAACCAAGGTACATGCCCTTGACTGGAATCGAACCTGGGACCCTTCAGTCCGCAGGCCGACGCTCTATCCACTGAGCCAAACCAGTCAGGACAGGACCCCAGTTTTCACTCAAATGCACACTCTCATACCTATGCACCCTCAACCTCACATGGTTCCCATTTCCCGCTCTTTCTCTCTCTCTCTCTCTCTCTCTCTCTCTCTCTCTCTCTCTCTCTCTCTCTCTCACACACACACACACACGTGCCCACTCTCACACACTGGTCAGCCCTCGGTCTCTCAGGCTCAGGCTCTAAGCAGACAGAGGAATGTGATCAAATCGACAGCTGAGAACTGTCCTGAGAGTAAAGCTGTACTTTGTTGAGAAACCGGAGCCTTTATTGGAGGGATACAAGTGTCTGTGTCTGAAGGCCGGGGAGAAGGGAGGTGTGGAGTGGTCTCCCAGGGCGCCTGTGGCCATTGGGCTGTTTCCATTATAAAAAATGATGAAAGGAGCGGTGCAGGGAGAGCATGTCTGTGAGTAAATAAAGCTGCCACCTTTGACCTTTGGAGGCCAGGGCTGAATGAATGCTCATTGGGGAGGGGGATGTTCAGCCCAGCCCAAGTTCTCCAGCACCCCAGGCTCAAGGCCAGGCTCCAAGGGAAAAGGGATTCGAGAACCTGTATGATGCGAGGGGACATGTAAAAGGAGGAGGAGGAGGAGGAGGGGAAAGGAGTAGCGAATAATGAAGGAGGTTGGGGACATTGTGGAGAGGGTGAGGGTCCTGGGGGAGGAGTGAGGACAGGGAGAAGAACTCTGACTTCTGGCTCTCCCGCCCTGCACTTCTCTCTTTGTGTCTGTCTCTCTGTCTCTCATTCTCTCGGCACCTCTCCAGGTCTCCTCTGCTCCTGGTCTCTGAAACAAGCATATGCCCCCTTCTCATGTTTAAGGCTTGGTTTGCTTGTTTTTCTAATCACCAGGAACTACAGGCAAACAGGGGTTAGCAAAAATAACAAACACAGGCAAAGTACAAAGTCACAGGAATTCCAGAAAGATTGAAAAGTGGTTGGTTCGGGCTTTGATAGAAATGAGTGTTGCTGGGCTTGCCTGTCCTCCCCCTACCTCCACCGTGGGCCCCTCCTGAACCCCTTTCCCAGGGGGCCTGCCCAGCTCAGCATTCAGCAGGCACAGTCCCTGGCTCAGAGCAAAGCTCAACAAAGTTAGCTGCATAGATAAATACATAAATAAATGGGTGGGCGAATGAAAGGTTTCTTGGTAATCAATCTCCCCAACTGTTTGGGTTTAAAACTCTTTGAACACACAAATGTGGGGTTGGCTTCACTGTGGAGTCAGAAAGGCTTCTCACCTCTTTCCAGGCCCCCCCTTCTCTTTTCTCTGCAGCCCTGCTGGGCCCCCCTCTCCCTAGGGCTGGCACTTTGTTCTGTACCCATCGTGGCTCTTACCTGGTCCCATCCCCAGGAGAATAAATCACTTTGCAATCTGGCTCCCAAACAGCCATGCCCTGCATGTCCCTCCATCCTGCATGCACCCAGTGGTCACTCCCTTTGCTCCTCCTGGGGGCCACTAAGGGGCCATTAAGTAGGTTCTTGGAAGTCTGACCTTGGCTAATTACAATGAGACTGATAATAACAATAAAATATAGCAATCAGCACAAATGCTTTCACCAAAAGATAAGGACACTCCCAGCTTTATGTGTGAGGGACATATAGGGAAGATGACAGGAAACAGACCACTCACTACGCCTCCCACTCCTGTTGCCCTATCTGTGCCCGACTTAGCAAGAAGACTAGAGAAATGCAATTCAAGAAAAACAACCCCATTTTCCTGTAAGCCTGGAGCCTCGCTGCTGGAGCTGCAGTCTAATTGGAGGGAGGGAATTGGAGGAAGTAAATTGGAGGGAGTGATTGCTGGAGGAGGCTGAGTGTAAGAACCTCCAAGCAGGACAGAGTGTGCCTGGGGCCAGTCCTCTGCCCAGTGAGACAAGGCCTGCTGTCAAGTGCCCAGAACCTGGCCACTCTTCTCTTTATCCCTCAGGCACAAAGCCTGTTTTTACCAAATCCTTGATGAATACTTGCCTTGGTCTTCTTCCCTGGGGGGAGGGGAAAGCTGAATCCCCATGAGGGAGGAGGCATCTGAGGCAGCTGAGCCCTGCGTGTCAGCTCTGGGTTCTTGGTCTGCACCAAAGACCCTCTCTTGGCCAAGTCTCTCTTTTCTTGTCAGCTGAGATGATGGAGAAAGCCAGACGGGCTCAGCTTCAAAACCAACTGGACACCTAGAAGCCTTCGGTATCATGGAAATCAAACACTGTTTTCATTCAACCCCAACCCAAATCATTACCAATTTTCACTGGGAAATTACTCTGGGTCACACACTGGTCGGTGGGTTTACGTGAATTAACTGATTTAATCCTCACAACAATTCTATGAATAGGTGCTATTATGATCTCCATTTTATTTTATTTTTTAATTATTATTACTAGAGGCCTGGCGCCAGGGAGGGACCGTGGGAGGGCTCCAGGGTGTGTCCAGCCCGACTAGCCCTGTCCGGATTGGCTGGACCCCAGCAGCAAGCTAACCTACTGGTCAGTGCATCTGCCCCCTGGTGGTCAGTGTGCATCATAGCAACTGGTCAAGCAGTCAAAAGTTGGTCACTTACATATTAGGCTTTTATTATATAGGATTTTTAATCTTCAGTCAAGGATATTTTTCCATTTATTTTTAGGGAGAGTGGAAGAGAGAGGGAAAGACAGAGAGAAATATTGATTTGAGAGAAAAACATGGATTGGTTACTTCCTGCACGAGCCTCCAGCAGGGCCCAGGCCGGGAAGGAGCCTGCAACCGAGGTACAGGTACGTGCCCTTGACTGCAATTGAACCCAAGACCCTTTGGTCCACCAGATGATGCTCTATCCACTGAGCCAAACCTGCGAGGGCATGATCTTCATTTCATAGATGAGAAGACAGATTCGGAGAGGTTAAGTTACTGGTCCAAGGCCAGCCAGTTTTTAAGTGGATGACTGAAATTGGAATTTAGGCAGTCTGGCCTCTAGGGAACTGGTAGGTGTCTGAGTCTGGTTTGGGGGCAGGAAAGCCCAGGCTCAGGGTAAGGTTCAAGAGTCAAATTAGAGGTAGATGCCGCTGGCGCCGTTGGTGCGCGTGGTCTTTGCAGCTGCTCGCGTCACTCGGATCCTGGGCTCCGCGAGCTGCACGAGCCGAGCCCGCTCGCGGGCCAGTCATCATGTCGCGCTACGGGCGGTACCGAGAAGAAACCAAGGTGCATGTTGGTAACCTGGCAACTGGTGCTGGCAAAGGAGAGTTAGAAAGGGCTTTCAGTTACTATGGCCCCTTAACAACTGTGTGGATTGCAAGAAATCCTCCGGGATTTGCCTTTGTGGGATTTGAAGACCCCAGAGATGCAGGAGATGCAGTTCGAGGCCTGCATGGCAAGGTGATTTGTGATTCCCAAGTGAGGGTTGAACTATCAACAGGCAAGCCGCGGAGATCTTATTTGGATAGACCACCTGCCCGACATCCCTTTGATCCAAATGATAGATGCTATGAGTGTGGTGCAAAGGGATATTGTGCTTATTGTCATCGCTATAGCCCACGAAGAAGAAGCAGAAATAGGTCACGGTCTAGGTCACATTCGAGATCCAGAGGTAGACGATATTCTTGCTCACGGAGCAGGAGCAGGAGCAGGAGCAGGAGCAGGGGAAGGAGGTCGAGATCAGCATCTCCCCGACGATCAAGATCTGTATCCCTTCGTAGATCACGCTCTGCTTCACTCCGGCGATCTGGATCTGGTTCTATAAAAGGATCGAGGTATTTCCAATCACGGTCAAGGTCAAGATCAAGATCCAGGTCTATTTCACGACCAAGAAGCAGCCAATCAAAGTCCAGATCTCCATCTCCAAAAAAGAAGCCTTGTGATGGAGAATCAAAAAAATAAAAAAGCAAGATTGAATGATAAAGGAAGTGGAAGTAGCAGTAGGCGACCCTTTCAAGACATAAGGACCGAGATGTATGGGATTGTAGACAGAAAGCAGATCATTGTGCATACTGTGTAATGAAACGGTAGTAAGCAGAACGTGGAATGTAATGAGACATTTTGAAACTAATTATTGTCAGCTCTTGAAAAAAAGTATTGATGAAAGGAAGGAATACATTTCTAGGCAGCTACACCTCTATAAAAGTCAATCAAATTCCATCATTAAATTTGTAAGATGCTCTACAAATTTAACATCAGCAAGTTACTGTATTGCTCACTCCATAGCTCAGCATGGAAAAGCCCTCAGTGATGGAGAATTTATTAAGGAAACATTTCTAAGATGTGCACCAGCTCTATTTCACAATATGAAAAATAAAGATGATATTATTAAAAGAAAATAAAAGTCAAATTAGAAGGTAGTGAGTATTCCCAGGCAGCTGTCCTGGCTCTCTATTGCTGAGTCCCCCATCTGACCTGGAGCCAATGCAGTCCCAGCCCTCCCACAAGCAGCACTGACTTCTTGTCTGCCTTGATGGAAAGGTGGAAGCATTTACATCCCTCTCCTTTCCCCATTTCATTCAACTCCTACCTCCTCAACAACAAAAAATTCCATCAATTTGAAACACCAACTCTTTACATCAATCATAATGTTTCATCCCTTGATCCTTATCAAGGTTAAGACCTGTACCTTTTTGGAGTTGTAGTCAGTAAGAACGTGCAATCTTCTTTGAATTTTAAAAAATTAACATTGCATTGTACCTATATTTTCCTGCATCTACATATTCTCTTCATCATTTTAATTATTTAATCCATCTTACATTCAATTTTATATAATATGAAATAACATTTTTCAAGTGACAAAGCTTTTCTCAGCACTATTTATTGAGTTGTTTCCTTCTCCCTGTTTTCTAATATCTATATGAAATTCTTAGGTGACTGGGTCTATTTCTGGCCTCTTTCTGTCCCACTGATTTAAATGTCTGTTTTGGTGCCTACACCACACTGCTTTCATTTTGTTTCCCTGTAACAAAATGTTTTTTTAAAAAATATTTTTTTATTAATTTCAGAGAAAGGAAGGGAGAGGGAGATTGAAACATCAATGAGGAGAGAAAATCATTGATTGGTTACCTTCTGCATGCCCCCTACTGGGGATCAAACCTGCAACCCAGGCATGTGTCCTTGACCGAAATTGAACCCAGGACCCTTCAGTCCGCAAGCTGACACTCTGTCCATTGAGCCAAACTGGATAAGGCAACGACATGTTTTAACATCTGATCAAACTTGCTCTTCTTTAGAAATTTATTTGATATAATTGTTCACTTATTTACTTTTCATGTGAAACTCAGAATCTTTTTTTTTCTCTGAGTTCTAAAAAGAACATCTAGTGTGATTTAGATTGTTAGGACATTAAGTCTATAAATTTTCCAGAGAATATTGACATTTTTACAATGCTTGGCATCTTGGTATGTTCACTACTTCATCTGCGTCACATCTAGCTATTTGAATGGCTACGTACTACTCCTTGTGCTGCTGTTCCCTAGCTGGCTTACCCATTTCCCCGGTACTGGGTATTTGGGCTGCTTCCAAGGTTGAGCTATTATGAATAATGCTACTATAAACAGCTGTGTACAAATTGCTTTTTTATTTCCTTGGGATATGGTCCCCAAAGTGGGATTATCTGATCAAAGGATATGAACAGTATCATGGTTTTTGTTATATAACCCAGGGAGAATGGGACCAATTTACAGCACCACCAGCAACAGATAAAAAAAAAATCTACGTTTTCCTTAAACTCTTGAGCAGCCTGAAGACTTAAAGGGGTAACTTGTTCCTCAGGGAAACAAACCCCAGCCACTGGGGGGAAAAAGAGGAAGTGAGAGAGTGCGGGGCTCTGAAGAGCGCTGCTGCTGCTACTGCAGAGGTAGGCTGCCCCTGGCCTGCGGCTGCCCTGCCTCCTGAGTCCTCAGAGCCATATTCCCCATCAGCATGTGAGCCTCATTTATTTTTATTTACTTAGCATATGTTTGTATAGCAATTATTATGTGTCAAGTACGATTCTAAACACTACAAATATTAACTCATTTACTTCTCATAGTTAGTGCATAAAAATAGATCCTATTATTACCGTGAGCATTTGACAGATGAAGAAACTGAGTCAGAGAAAATTGCTGTAGGTCACATAGCTGGTGGGACTTGAACTCAGGCAACCTGGCAATAGTTTACTAAACCACTGTACACTGCTCTCTTGACTGGGAACAGTCACTTCTGCTTATAGCTGCCCTTCTTTTTCTGGGTCCTGCCTTGGCCCCAGCAGCCCCAATCCCCTCCAGGGAAGGAAGACCCTAAAACTTCCTGTCCTGGGTTTCAGGCCTTCTTGTTACCTCCTTCTCATATTCAGCCACCATCTGTTGGATCCTGCCATGTGCCAGCCATTGGGCGAAGCGCTTTTACATCTTTCCATCTCTTCATCTTTACCAATATCAGACAAAGTAGGTAGTGTATCTTCATTTTATAGAAGAGGCAACTGAAGAACAGAGTAAGTGTGTAGCCCAAGATCACACAGCCGTTGGGTGGCGGAGGGAGAATGTGAATCCTGTTCAAACATTAGAGCCTTTGGTCTTTCTCTTATACTTGGCTCCTCTCTGCCCCCCTGAGACTCCACTTTACCGTCGTTCATTTCTCTTTCTCTGATGGTTTTCTTGAAGTTTACTTAGGTGGAAAGAGACCCTGTGGGTGCAGTTCTCTGCTCTTCCTGGCCACGGTTGGGCCTGGCTTCACCGGGGCCCAAGTAGCCAGCCCCAAGGAAAGTGCCATCATTACCTTATGCTTTTTGGAAGTGAGGGTCACTCCCTGAGAGAGGCCCAAGTAGCTCCTTCCTTTCCTGTTTCAAAGTCCACACCCCTCTGGAGCCTGCCCACTGATTCCCACTTCCTGCTTTAGGATCTTCAGCTGATTTACTGAGTACAGATGATGGGCAGGTTCTGGTGCCAGTGAACAGACCACACCCCCAGCTCAGATTTGTGCTCCTACTCCAGGTTCTCTGGGATGACTCAGAGCTCAGCTACCTTCCAGGGAGTGGTTTTCCCCAGTCCTGTCATACAATTTGTACAGGTCCCAAACACCCTGAGCACACGTTATGCACTCCTACCGAGGATAAAAGAAGGCACTGATCCCTGACAGGCTCTGGAAGATTCGATGGCAGCATCAACTTCAGAAACTGTGCTTGTGTACTTCCCTGTGTGCATGCTTTTCAGTGGGAGAGAACACAGCTGCATGTCTCGTGGGCCCGGGACTTCAAGGATGGGCTGATGTGCTCAGGAGTTTATACATGTTGGGTGTTTTTTTCGTGTGTGTGTGTGTGTGTGTGTGTGTGTGTGTGTGTGTGTGTGTGTAAGGGCCTGCATGTACCTGGAGTTGGTATGTGTGTTTGCATGCATGCACTGTACAATTTGGGTAAAAGGGCTGGTTAGGAGGGTTTCCAACAGCACTCAGGAGGGAGACTGGACAGGAGAGAAAGGGAAAAGAGAGTCAAGTCTTCGTAAATAAGTGGAGGGAAGCTGTGGTAAGTCCAAAAGGCCCCAGACAGATTCAGACAGGTTTGCAGCATTCAGCGTCACTTGTAGCCCAGGGCAGGAATGGCAGGTTGGAAGTTGGTAGTATGTGCTGGCCTGACCAGGCATAGCCCAGGTTTGAGGAACAAGGGACTGGAGGATATGGTAGAGCATTGCACGCCCCCCCCCCCAATCTTCTAAGCCCTAGGCTCCGATCTGTCCCCACAGACCTGATGGCCTCTCTGGGGTAAAGACGGTTTAGCCTTTGTAGAGATCTGGGGGCAGAGGAGAGAAGCTCTGTGGGGCCTATAAAGAGGACTTGCCAGTGCCCCCTACCCCTCAGCCAGTGGCCCCTACCCCTCAGCCTGTGCCCCCTACCCCTCAGCCTGTGCCTCCTACCCCTCAGCCTGTACCCCCTACCCCTCAGCCTGTGCCTCCTACCCCACAGCCTGTGCCCCCTACCCCTCAGCCTGTGCCTCCTACCCCACAGCCTGTGCCCCCTACCTCTCAGCCTGTGCCTCCTACCCCACAGCCTGTGCCCCCTACCTCTCAGCCTGTGCCTCCTACCCCACAGCCTGTGCCCCCTACCCCTCAGCCTGTGCCTCCTACCCCACAGCCTGTGCCCCCTACCTCTCAGCCTGTGCCTCCTACCCCACAGCCTGTGCCCCCTACCTCTCAGCCTGTGCCTCCTACCCCACAGCCTGTGCCCCCTACCTCTCAGCCTGTGCCTCCTACCCCACAGCCTGTGCCCCCTACCTCTCAGCCTGCTCCAAAGGCAAAGGAACCTCCTTCTAGCTTAGAAGCTGCTCAAAGGTTTCGCTGACTTCAGAGGGATGGCGGAGGGAGGAAGGAGGAGAGGCCTCTGAGGTGGCGAAGCTTTTGCTGAGCCTGCAGGCTACCCAGCCCCTCCCTGGTTCCTCATTACTGTGGTCCTTGGGCATGAAATGTCTTTTTATTTGAAGGCCAAGAAGAACCCAGGGCTGTGTTAATGACCTCCTAGCACAGAGTGCGGCCTGAGGTGGGAGTGGGGTGGGGGGTGGGGCTGGCTGGCTCTCTTGACCTTGAAATCCTGTCTGAACTTTTTCTGTTGCGCTGACATTCTATTTTTCTAGAACTTGTCTCTCCTGCCGTAGCCCTGTCCTCTCAATGGGCCCTCAAGAGGAGGCAAGTGAGGGCAGCCCGGACACGGGCATCTAGTATGTCTGAAGAGTTCATCAACTGGATCTGGGACCTGAGCAGGACTGGACAACATTCAGTTTCAAGGACTCCCAGACCAGTAGGGATAACAAACATTTTACATAAATGCTAATGGAATAATAATAATAATAATAATAATAATAATAAATAAAAGACTGTATGCTGAGCTGGTGTGGTTCAGTGGTTGAGTGTCAACCTATGAATCAGGAAGTCACAGTTCGATTCCTGCTTAGGGCACATGCCCTGGCTCAGTCCCCAGTAAGGGGCATGCAGGAGGCAGTTGATGAATGATTCTCTCTC